AAACCCAGCGGCACCATTATGCCAGCGCTGAAAAAGTAAGCGACGAGGTAATAGCTCTTCGTTTTTATTTTTCTTTGTTTTCGACATTTGTGTTCGACACAGGCAATTTCGGAGTTGAAATTATAAAAGAATGAAGAAGAAAAGCAAAGGAGTATTAAGAATTTCTTGTTTTGCCTACATTGTATACATTTAGTCTGCTTTTGATTTTAGTGAAGTGCGAACAGTGAACAATTTTTAATTTTTAAAATCAAATAAAAAGCAAAAATATAAATAAAATATAATTTGTAATTTCACATAAACTCACTGTAAGTATATGCAAAATTAAGTAAATATATTTAAAATGATAATTGAAATTTTTGTTTTGTATTATGTAGATGCTACTGCGTCAAGAACGATTAAATGACCAATGTGCTGCGAATGCAGTCATTCTAAAGCAAGGGGTAATCAGCTGTAGTCATGTAGTCAGCTGTTTCAATTGGAAAATTTTACAATTCAAACTGAGGAGGATTTAATTCAATTTAATGAAGAAATCACTGCCGTTGAAGTAGTTGTAAGTTAAATTATATATGTTTCTTACTTTCAATTTCAACTTATTAATATATTCACATGTAACAATTTTACTAATTCATACATTTCTTTTCATCTATTACGTTATTTATAGACTGCATCAATGAGACGCGTTATTAAAAAACAACCAATTACGCGAAAAATTTCCTGGAATTTTGGAGAATGGTACCCAAGGCAAGAAGTCCTTAAGAGCGTTAGAGAATGTGACAGCAGCACTTTTTGGTATGGTATATTGTACATAATTAACTTTAGCGTATACAATAACATACTTTTGTATTTACAGATGCTTTAAGTACAGATGGTAAGCCGGAACAAGTGATCGAGTCGAGTCTGGAAATCTCTTCAAGGTGTTAGTAACAATTTCCAGAAAAATATTCATCTATATAAGTATGTTATATTTTTTTATGTAAATATTAATATTTTAATTTTATAAAACATAAATATAAAATATAATTTATCCAAAAAAATTTATAGTATTTTATTTAAAAATCAATAGCATAGGTAAAATTTAAAAGGTAAGCGAACATGTCAGCGCTGATATGTTGCATTACAAATTCGAAAAGGTAAGCTAACATGTCAGCGCTGATATGTTGCATTACAATTTCGAAAAAGTAAGCTAACATGTCAGCGCTGATATGTTGCATTACAAATTCGAAAAAGTAAGCGAACATGTCAGCGCTGATATGTTGCATTACAAATTTGAAAAGGTAATCGAACGATTCAGCGCTTGCCCGCAATGACATACACGTGTTAAAGTAATTAGGAGTTTCATTTGAATAATCAGCGCTAGGCATTACCATTCAGCGCTGAGGGAATCGATTCCCTCAGCGCTGAAAGTCCCGCTGGGAATATAGGTGTGTATGTGTGTGTGTGTGTGTGTGTATGCGTAAAGGTGAGCATACACTGCACGTGCCGCTTTTGCATATTTTATTCAGCAGAAACAACAACAGAAACAGAACCAGCAGTGGCGGTGGCAAAAATAACTCATTTTAAATCCCACCACTGCGTTAAGAAACACAAGCAATAATAATAAAAAAAAACCGAAAAAAAATCGAGAAGAAAGTGAAGCAAAACATAAAACTTCGAAAAATGCAAATTCTAGAATTTAAAATAAATTTTATTGCATTCAACGAAATAATTTGTTAATATTTTATTATCTGTTGCTTATGTTTACCAACAAACAGCACATTGGCTTTCTTCACAACAACTTTTTTTTTCTTATTATATTTAAACGAGATTAACCAAATAACAATGTTTCGTTTGAACCACAACTAGTTCCCTTAACCAACGAGTAGTTTATATATAACGAACTCTTGTACTTTCTTTAACCAGTAATTTTTTCAATCAAAAAAAACAAAAACTCAGGGACTTAAAGGTAAAAAAAAGTAATAAAAAAAACAAAATTATCAAAACAAAAAAAAACAACAACAATAATTATTAATATATTAAATTAAGTTAATTAAGGTACAAAAATATACTAAGCAAATTCCATTTTATAAATCCATATGATCAGGCGAATCCTCACTCACTTTACTTAATGTTTGTAAGGTGTTTGATTCAGTACCAGCTGTTGGAAAATGCGATGGAGGATGTGCGCATCTCGACAATAACAACTTGCGATAGGAACCCACTGAATGGAACCCACTGATCGGATTGGCTGACGAAGGCTGCTGGACTCCAGCAAATTAATATATGTGTATAAATTATGTTTGCTCGTTCCCACTCGAAGGGAAGAAGTGAAATGTTTATTGCTAGAATATAATTATGATTGGTGAAAGTGTCCCAACCATTCACAAGTTCTACTTAATATAACTTAACTACTAAACCTTAAACTTAATATTCGAGCTTGTCGAAATGTTCGGGTTCCATAACCTATATAAAGCGGAACACTCAAGTTTCAATAGAGTAAACAGTCTCAGAACTGAAAATGTGTAATAATTTAAAAAGACCTTCGCATTTTAATGTTTCTTAAAAAACTATTTAATTAAAAAAGTTATTACCAACATTAATTTATATAAGCCGTAAATTGAAATTGAACATAATTACATAAAAAACTGAAGGCATATTTTTGATGGGCACTAGTGATCATCATTCATTCATTTTTAGGAGTTTTAACGGCAGATGTACCGGTAGGTTGAGCATTGAGACGCATATAGGCAACGATTTCATCCTTAATCCATTCCTTATTATGTGGAGAAAAGGTGTCAGTCCCAACGCGTAATAAAACAGCAAAATCTCGAAAACCATCCATGAATTTGAAAAGGTCACGCAGATCGTAAGTGAATACTTCAGTTGTTGGAAACAAACGTACAAGATGTTGTTCATACATCCGGCATATACCTTCAATGCATGCATCCATAGTTTCATAATCAAGGAAAGTACGTCCACTTTGGAAATTGAAGGGATCAACCAATAAGATAACTAGAGCCATTGTAAAGCAGCAGAATATGTTTAAATGCCAATGAGAAACAAATCAACTAAAATAAGCAGAAAAAAATTTCTTGTTCATATGTAACAGTTAAAATGTTTGATACTTAATTAATTGTATTAATGAAAAAAAGTTGAAAAAAGCCTTACATTTTTTAAATCCGTTACTTTTTATCTTACGAACTGAACTTGTCTATATTTCAACTCAAACGAGACGTATGCCAACGATTTGAACTCTTCAAATTAAAAGTTTGAAAAAAGTTGAAATTTTTGAGTGTAAGTAAGGCATTGCCAGACCTATTTAAAATTTGAATGCATGACATACTATGTGAAATTTACTGAGATGATGTTCGATAATTGAAGAAAACTAATTTAATTTAAACTTAAGTAAAAATAATAAATAAAATATATGTGGTATTGCTTTTTTTAAATTTAGTACAATTTTAGATTAAAGAAACTGAACAGAATCAATAGAGAAAAACGATTTCATCTCCTTAATCCTTATGGAAATATTTTAAAAACTTTATTGAGAGGCTCAAGCTTAGAGAAGCTACTGACTTATTCACAAAGATTCATGTAATTTATTTATTGCCATGAAAAAATATTCCATTCGCATCAAGTCACATGAATTTGGTGACCATGTCTCAATATCATTTCTGGAAACTATAAAGTCATCGAAGAATCGCACCATCGAAATTCACCTACATTTTGAATATTTTCTGAAGACTATATAGTCGTATATAGTCATTGCTGCGGTTACTCGTTACAAGTAAAGTCATTTTTGCATATTCACCCACATACTAAAGAATAAATCTATGTTGATGGGTCTGCTTCGCTGCCATTCGTATTGACAGTTCGACAATTAGGTGACCACATTATTACATCACCTATTGATACCTCACATCGGTGTCAATAACAATAGACGAAAATTGTATATTATATTTAACTGTGGAATCAAAGTGGTAGTTAGCTGAGTTGACAATACCCGGGGAACCTCATCCAAAATAACAAGAATTCAATAGACAGTTAGTAACGTCATGGCGTGTAAATTGTCGTATGCGTGTAAAATTTTGTTTATCGACTAAATTTAAAGAAACAAGACCATTAACAGCGATTACTACATAACCTAACTGTTGCGTTTGAAGGAAGAAATTTTGAAGCAAGGGTCCCATATAAAGAAGAAAAAGGTTTTTCTTTATCAAGACAATGCATCTCGAATTACACTTCAAACTGCTTTCGCGCTCAACATATTCGTCAGATTTGGCTCCCACCGATTACTAATTATTCGCCGACTTTAAAAAAATGCTCAAGGGAAAGAGATTTAGAAAAGTCCTGACCTAAACTGTGGCATATTTTTAGGCAGAAGATAAATCATTCTTCATTCTCAGATAAGAAAGATATCAGAAAATTTGAGATACGTTGGAACGATTGTATTACTCTTGACGGATACTACTTTCAAGTTAAATTCGAATTTTGAGAATAAGGTTGTTGTGTTATTGGTTTTACTATCAACTTATCAGTCGATGTGTTATGGCTAAAGCTATGCAGTACATTTCTTATTTAATTGTGGTTTTTAACTTGAATAAAAGTAATAAGTATTCGAGTTTATAGAGCAAAAACTACATAACTCACTATATATAATAGCGAAAAACTTATAATAATAAAAGAATCTGGGAACATCGCTATCAATTACTTTTACAATAATTTACAATAAATGAAGTAGTAAACTTTTTCTCTCTTTAAACAGATTTTAATGTAAAATGTATATGAAATATTGCCAAAAAGTGCATATGAAGTAAAATAATTAAATAAATGTATTTCGAATCAAATTCGAATAGAATTATTTTAATATTTTAATAAATCAAAAGTTGTCAAACATGGAACCACAAGGCGTATAAGTAATTCAACTTGTAAATCAAATGCTCTGTATGTTGTCGTTAAAGCAAAAATTGATAAATTGAAGGCAGGCAATGTGCAACATTTTGCAGAATCACACACTGAACCACACACTGAACAACTCAGACTCGAATCTTAAACTATTTAGAATAGATTTAGGCATTGTCTGGAAATTTAAGCTGCACAACGTAAATTGACTGGGAAAGCCACAACAACTTAAACCGCACAAGCACACAACAATCCGGCAACGCAGCAAAACAAGAGCGGCAAGGAGCAGCCAACAGTCGCAAGGATAACAGCCAAGGAAGGCGCTGCTGCTGCAGTCGGCAGCAAAACTCAACTGTAAACTGTTTAGAAAAGCTTTATTTATGCTAAGCCATAAATCTAATGTTAGCCAAGCAAGAAGTTTCTCCGAGCTCTCCAATTTCAACGATTTATCCTTTGAGAACTAATCCTTTTTTCGTCTTTTTATTTGGCTGCTACTTTTGAGTGAAATTTATTTCTGTTTGCAGATCTGTGCTACTTTCATTCATTCATTCTATTTACTATTCTACTTCTACTTCTTTTATTATTATTTTTCTGTGCTTTAGCTCCTTTCGTTGCCACTTTTATTTGACTGTTTACTTGTATCCTTTTTTGTTTATTTACACAGAGCAATGGAAAGCGAAGTAAAGTGCAACAGAAGCGTAGCAAATTTTTGGTAAAATAACGCTGAGATGGTGAATGCGTGATAAAAGTTAAATTTCAAGTTATAACGAATTACGAAAATTTACGCTTTCTCAGATAAAAAGTATAAAACACGGTGCGAAAAGGGAGCGACATAGTAGCAGATCAGCAACAGAGAAAAATTGCCAAGTATCAACTTGCGGCCATCAAAGGAGATGCCAGCCTAAATTAAGTTTAATTAATATCCTTATTTAGAGCGAATCCTACGACTATACACGCATACGCTTAACATGTATGAATTCTGCCTTCACAAGTCTTATTCCCATTTCAAGTGCCTAAATACTAGCTAAATTGCACTAAATACACAAAATGTTGGTTTTAATTAATATATATTTTGCATATAACAGATAATAGTTTTGTGTTCCATAATAAAATTATTATTATTTTTAAAATGTGTAAATATAATAAAAACAGAACAAGAACTAACTTCAATATTATTATAATTATTAAGCTTTTTGTTTTAGAAACTAATTAGTTAATTGGTAAATAATACTCTTCTTTGAAAAAATAGTTTTTAAAAAAAATTTTTATTTGCCCCAATATTTAACTATATTCTAGAAAAAAACCTTTTTTAAAAACCATTTTATTATTTAACAATTGACCACTTAGCCCATTTCAAAAAAAAAAAAAAATATTAATAAAAATTCTTGGTTACTAAAACAGTTAAATATTATTATAATTATTAAAAAATCTTTATCCAGTGATCTTTTTAAGGGTACGCAATTTTATTTCAATCATTTAAAATTTTTTGGTTGACCATACCGATGTTTCGAGTATTACCAAAACAATAACCATCAGTGCTCTTTGGAATTATTCATTGGTTTTATATATCTGTATATAATGGTTGATCTACAGGCGCCAGGCTTTTAGTCACTTCTTCAGAACATGTTGAATAATGGGTTAGCTAGTAAACTTTCGTACTAAATAAGTAAGTTTAAAAGTGTGTTTAAACTTAACTAAGTATAAAGTTCCAAGTGCTCGTAGCTGTAACGCAACAACGATCTCTACTAAAACTTTATCAACTAAATCATTAATGGCACTCACTAAACACTAAATTTAGGAGTAATTTAGTAGGAATTTAGTGGTTTAAAATCATCAAAAATCACTAAATGAATATCAACTCCTACACAAAAGTAAATTACAATATATAAATTGTACTTAAAGCGGTTGCAATACTAAAACGATTACTATAGTGCATAATTTTAGAACCTATAGATTGACAGAGCAGTACAACACCAAATATTTTGAATTAATTTTTGCCCGGTATATTTCTTCCGATAAAGAAGAAGTTGTAGTTACGAGTGATAAAGTAAAAATGTCAGATTCTGAAAACATAGTTAAGAACCTGCAAAATGAAAGTGAAAAAAATATCAGTGATACCTAACATAAAGACGATCATGAATATGAGACAGCGATATACACTCAAATATTTATAGTCTGATTAATAAGTTTATATTATATTTATAAGTTTTCTTGCATGTGATAACATTAAGTGGCATAAATATGCACTATCTTCTCCCCAAATATTAGAGTAACATATTGTAAATGACTATACAATGCTCTTCAATGCTATTAAATACACAATAATACACCAAAGGTAGAGTAAAAGTACTGTCAAATTGAGATAGTTCCTAGCTGTTGATGTATAGCTTAATTTTCTACTCAGAACTGCAAGTAGCTATCCGCAACAACAACAACAACAAGCAATAAAGCTTGAATGTGAGTTTAGTTATACGATTTCTCGACTGTGATCTGGGATTAGACTTATTGCAAGCACTCTAAAGTAATTTGAAAGATATCTGTCATACGGTTTATATTCAGGATTGGGTTTATTGTAACAACTTTAAAATAATATAGCATGAAAATTGCATATGATTACTCGTCCTAGTTATTTAGGTATTACTTGATCTTTACCTAGTATCAGAATTATTGTTACTATTTTAAAATAATACAGCTTAAAAAAGAATTTGGTTACGCGATAGTCAGTTATTGTTAAGGATAAGACTTATTGTAACGACTTTATCTTAATAAAAATTTGAAAGACGTCTTTCATCCGATAATTGTTCAGGATTTGATTTTTTGTAACAACTTTAAAATAATATAGCTTGAATATGAGTTCAGTTATACGATTATTCGACTGTTATCTAGAATTTGATTTGTTGCAAAAACTGTATAATAGCAAAGATCTGAGAATTATCTGTTACTCAGTTATTTTTAATGATTGGATTTATTGTAACAACTTTGAAGTAATATGTTTATCCGACTACCTGGTTTAGGTACGCGGTTATTGTTTAGTATTAGAGTTGTTGTAAGTACTTTTATTTAATATAGTTTTGATCATCCATGTATCCGGTTGTTGTCCAGAGTCAGACTAATTGTAACAACTTTAAAGTAATAATAATTTCAAAGATATCTGTCATTCGATTATTGTCTAGCACATAAATAATTTCAACAACCTTAAAGTTATATATCTTTGAAAAATATCCGGTTACCTGGTTATTGTCAAGGATTATGTTAGATACATAATGCAAACTACAAAATTTGTTACGGCATAAAGCGAAAGTAAATAAAGCATTAAATTAATTTAATTTAATTTAGCTTTTAAAGTAATTAAAAGC